AGCTGCGTAGTCGTAGGACTCTTCGAGCCAAGCTTTCATCCGAGCCTTCTTCTCAGGCTCGGGGATGCGGTCGACGGCGTACCCGAATGCCTGGATGAGTCCATCGCGAGCCGGGTTGTCGCGATCGTTGCAGACGGCTCGCCATAGGCTACCGAATACCGGGTTGATGGCGATGGTGCCAACATCAGCCACGATCAAAGTTTCGAGTTGGCCAACGACAAAATTGCGGTAGACATCATCGGCTTTGTATCTCTTGGAGAAGTCCAAAAGGGGCGTTTTCCGAGCTTCGACGACAGTCCGCAATTCATCAAGCTTGGTAGGTGTTGACTTTATGTTGTTCATGACAGGTTTCTCCATGTGTCTGGCGATGGCAAAGTACGACTCGAGGGCGTCGTCCTCTTCGCTTTTGATGTCCTCGATATTGGAGGCTGCCCGATACTGACAAGCTTCGGCGTAGGTGCGCTGGCCGGACGCTGCACCGCCTTCCTTCCCTACACCCATCCAAGCCATCAGGATGCCGGTGGTCAACTCTGAAATAGCGACCGATGTGGGAACATTGTGTTGATTATCGAGTTTGAAGCTTACTCCCCCCGTGATATGTGAGAGGAAAGTGAAAGGGGCGACGGTGTATTCGATGCCGCCTTGGATGACGGAAAAGACCTTGGCCTTCTTCTCGCCGTCCCGAAGGATCTTGGCGCCGGCAATCCAATCGGTAAAGTACTTTCCACAGCCGTAGAAGGAATCGGGCTTGGAGAGGTTCTCAATCTCGGTGACTCTGTGCTTGGACGACGCTCCCGGGATGTGGGGAGGCGCGTCAGCGTAGAGGATGATGATGGTAGTGGCCTCGGGACGCATGATGCTGTAGGCTCTGGCAAGCCCAGTCTTGGCAGCCTCGGGCCAATCTAGTCCGTAAGTACCAGAATCTGCCTTAATATGACCGGCCTTTTGAAGCAGCTGGCCCTGTGTAATTGTGCCGTCGGCCGTTGAGTTTGTTGAGTACCATCCTGACCACTCCGTCAACATGGAGGCAGAGTAGTCGCGGTAAGCCATGACTCCGATCCGGTCGAAACAGTCGGTCAGAGCCGAAATCCGGATAATTTCGGGCAGAGACTTGTTGAGAGCTTGCAGGTAGCTGCTCATGGACGCCGTGGCGTCCGTCAAGATCAAGAGATCATAATGGTCGGTGGTAGCCATGCTGGGTGGTGCTGTCTGCTGTCCGTAGACCGTCCCGTTCTATGGTGTCTTGTTCGTGAAGACTCCAAGAATGGGAGACGAGGTGCAACTTGAGCATGGAGAATCAAATGGCTAGGAACACATCGAGAGTGCTTTCCGTGTTTATATAGAAGAATTGAGGTATTGCAGGTAGTGAGAAGGAAGAAGGAGAAGATGAGGCCAATTGGGGGATGCGTTGACTCACGCCGCCAGAAGGTGCGCCGCGGTGTTGGTTGACGGGAATTCACCTCAGGAAGTTGGAACGGTCAGACGAAAGGGCCGATCCTGCGTCATTCGCCGTATCCCCTTCAAGGGGTTGCGGACTCTTGCCGGCTGAGTCAATGGTCGAGTCCATGGTAGATGCCTTGGATGTTTGTCCAGTTTCTGCACTGGACGAGTTGTTGTTGCATTTCTTTGAAGCAGCGTTGGCCGAACGTTTGTGGCTCAGCCCCCATGAAGCTTGCCCGTTAGCAATTAGCTCTCAGTTCTTCCCCCACAAAGTGGCTGGGGGCGGCCGCTCATGTCAGCCCTTACCGCGCGCTTCGCCTCGACGATGGTACTTTGGTAGAGATATAAGCATTCAAGTTCGTTTTCATTGGACAATTCCACATCTTTTGGGGGGAAGGCAGAATAAAAGGCATTTTCGCATCGATCGTCACTGGTTGATAGGAAGAAATCGCTCAAAAGCTGGGGGAGCTTCTTCAATTCAACCCACAGTCAATTGAGAGCGTCCATGTATAACAGCCCTTCAAATTGCTTCATTATGCTATTATCATTATATTCTTCAAATTTACCTTGTCTCACCTACATTGAAGCAAAGCTCATCTAGTTGCGGACATACGAAACCGGCTCCAACGCCTCGTTCGCGCAGTTGGCGGGCCCATTGATGGGGTTGCATCGCACCGCCGCACCACCTTCGAAGCGAACGGCATAGTCGACGTTCCAGCGGCTGCTCATGCCGTAGGCCTGGAAATCGGTCGACACGATCTGCGCACCGCTGGAGAATGCATCCTCACGCATTCCCGTCGTGTCGTTGGACAGCAGCGTATCGAGCGGGATGTCGGCGCGTGTGCGGACCCAGTAGCCCGCCTTGACCTGCGCCTGGATGTTGGCCTGTTCGGTGCCAGTGGGGTCATTGAGCTGATTGAAAGTTGTCAGTAGGATATTCACCTCTTCTCAAGAACGCCCTCGGTTCAGAAGGGTTGATGAACAACAAACCTTTTGGAACGCGCAGTCAGAGTTTCCGGGCGCAGAGTTTGTGAAGAGAACACGGCCTTCAAGGTTAGGTCGGCCCTCGGTGTAAGAGTCACGGATGGGGTTGACGGGCCCGTTGTCCATCAGGAAGAGCACGCGACCACGAGCACTCTCCAAGTCGGGCCACCCATACTGCAAGACAGACTGCTCCAGCGTCAAGTTGCCCCTACGGATGTCGTCCGGGGTAACAAGGTCCTCGGGCGCAAAGACGCTACGGATCTCATCATCAAGGCCCTTGAGCAGTGCGGTGTCGTTCCAGGGGATCTGAGACGCGCCGCCGATTGCAGCGAAGGCGGCTTCAGAGGTCTTGAACTCGATCATGAAGGGGATGGGGACATGGTCCGGGTGCGCCTGGCTCCACTTCTTGACAATATTCAAGCACCCGATGAATGTCTTGCAGGTAGGGTGGTAGTCGGCGTCGGCGACATGCAGGACTTTGATTCCTGGAGCGAGGAGATCGGGGTCTGGAGTCGTGGAGAGGTTCGCAAGCTTGCGGATGAGGGGCGTGGCGTAGTGGCCTCCCTCAGGGTCGGCAAAGATGTCAAGCTCAAGGTTGCGGATGGACTGGTAGTTGAGCTGTATATCGAGGGACGGGTGGGAGTAGTAGTAGTTCTGGACGTTGGGAAGCATCTTCGCCTGGGTGGGATGCTCCTCAAGCGGCGCCTCGCGATGGTACGAGTTGTGCGTGCCTACGACTTGGACCTGGTTCATCCGGATGCCACGGGACCAGGTGAGGCCATTGTGGGTGTAGGACTCATTGCTGCATGAAGCGGCGCTCACGAGAGGGAGCACTATTCACGGTTAGAACCTGTATGTGAGGAGAGCCCAGAAAGGGTGTAACGCACGGAGAGCAGCCCTGAGGGCCAGGCTTGACATAGGCGACATGGCGACGAGGGGTGAGATGAGGAGAACGACAGCAACAATCACGCACAGGAAGTAAAGGCAAAGCCTGAGGGGACTATAAGCAGAGCCCATGCTTATATACAGAACAAGGTTGCATTCGAGATCGCCAAGAGCGACCGAGAGCTCCGTTAAAGCCTCTCGATGGACGCGACGCCAGTGTGTGAAGCGGAGTGTTCATCCGGTGGTGCCAGCCAACCGGGTCAAGTCAGGGCACGTGGGTTTAAGTGAAGGACCAGCTCGGAAAAGGTTATATCGCGGCCATGCAGTGACAGAATGAAGATCAAAGACTAACAAGGTCGGACAGCAGACGGCAGGTGACAGACGTACGCAGTGGTGGACAGAGGAGAATCGGACGCACCGGGATGAGAGAAGCCCCACCACCGGAAGCCGTTGTCCGCTGTGCCCCGCACATTGCTTGGAGGAAACAGCTTCCCAACTTGGCAGGCCTGAGGAGGGGTCGGCCAATGGCGGGCTTGAGGGCGAGCATGTGCCTGAGAACTCATCTCATCTTCCCTGAAGCTTCCCTGCACATGAGAACGTCAATGAGATTATCCACGTGGGCTCTCGCCATCAATTGCGACAGGATCTGGGTTGGAGCTCTCATATTGAGTCAAATGAGCGTGTGAGATCCATAATCTGCTTGTAGTGTCTCATCGTCAGACGCTTCTTATTTTCGCAACGACCTTGACAGACCAATCCGGGGTGAAGGCTGAGTGAGTATGCACACTGAGGATGGAAATTTCATACACTGCACTTGGGTAGTTTGAGACGCCTTGGACTTATCAGTGATTGTGATTCTTCTCAAGAGCGACATGAAAACATAATTGAAATGCGACGGTACTTTGTTATCTCCAATTCGCAGCGGGAGTCTGGCCTCTCACTCACTCACTCACTCACCCACCTTCACCTTCACTCACTTTCGTCATTTGAACCGAGTCGAGTAAAGTCCTAGTCAAATACCAATTGATGAGCACCGTTCTGAGCATGAAGGCATAAAGGCGTAATGAGAACACTTTCCATCCTATTTTAATAGACAGCAAAATTGTACCTTCGCACCAGTCAATAGTCATTCAGCTCCTCGTCAACCAGCTGCGCTCCGACTAATGCCTCGATATCAAGGAAGAACGTAATCACCAAGCTCCATTTCCATACCATCATCGCATGAAAGCCACGATTCCACCCAAGGCAGCAAAATTAGCCTCAGGGCACCTCAATCTTACATCCACGACGCCACACCCGGCCGCCCATCATCCAGAATGTTTCGGTCACTGATCCACTGCCAACTTATGTAAACCACCCCGCGCTTCCTTTCGCTCCCTCTGCAATGTACCGGCCAGGCCCGGCCCCACCGCACGGCGCCGTGGCGCACCTCCGGCGTTGTGCATCTGCAGTCCGACCGCCCGTGGTTCCCTCCGGCCTGCAGCACCATGATGGGCCTATCACCCGTCCATCCATCCATCGTTCCATGTCAACTCAACCATGGAACCAGGGGGCCAAGCGCTTGTCGATATCTCTAGGCACTCTGATTCGGCGTTGGCCTGCCCAACTGCCATCGCGGTACCGGACCTACCTTCCCAGTACGTATTTATTACTACCCTTTGCCGTCCGTTATCATCACGTCTTCACCTCAACTCAAGGCGATCTCTAGCATCGCCATCCCTTCATTCTTCTACTGTCTTTAGGAGGTTTTCATTCTTTACATAAGGTACCAATTACATCCCACAATCATTTCCAACGAGCCAGATCGATTCCGGCATTCACACTCCTTTCTCTCGACACCCTCACCGAGCCACACCGAGCAATCACAAGCATCGCCCATCCCCCCTCCATCCACCGTCGCCTGCGCCGAGGTCAACTGCAACCCCAAAGATCGACACCCACTTCCCCTCAAAATGCATGCCCCGACCCCTCATCTTCTACCCCTGGCCACGGCCCTTCTAGCCATCGGCACCAACCTCGCCCATGCAAACCCCCTCCAAGTGCTCACCGCAGGAATGGATAGCACACTCCCCGTCGGCACGAACCCCATCGTGAACCCAAAAGTGGAGTACCTAGGTTTCCAGCACGCCGACAACAGCTGCTCCCACCGCGATCTGGGCTTCACCGGCTCTATCGCAGGAAAATGGTACGCCGTTTGGGGCGATGTGCTCTGGTGCGATGCTGGTGTCACTGATCCCGAAAAGGACACTCCCGGGTTCCACGGCATGGTGCGCGACGCCGTGTCTGTCATGACGAAGAACCCGCTGGTCGTGCACGATCTCAACCTGGGGGAGAATGGGCGTCAGAAGCAGTTCATCCCCTTCAATTCATCGTGGGGAGAAAAGGTTGATACCGGGTTCGGCGGGACGAGTTTGGTCGAGACTAATGCTGAGACGCGCACCGGGGCCGTCTTTTACCTGGTTGTAAGTCACCATCCCCCTCCATGAAGCCAGGAACCAGGCTCCAAAAAGAGAGTCTACACAAGACTTACACAAAACTCCCCAGAACCAAAACGCAGATGGCCTCGTAGGCGCAGGCATCGCCAAAGTAGACGTCCTCTTTGGAACCCCCACCGTGACCAAACGGTACGGCGAACGCGGCTACTGGTGGGATGCCAAAACCACGCCCCGGTACGGCGACATCGCCGCCTTCCGCGACCCGTGCTCCGAGTACATTTACGCCTGGGGCGGCCCGCCGACCACAATCACCGACTGGGGCCAGAGCAGCTACGTCTACCTCGCGCGGGTCAACGCCAGCCAGGCGTTCAACGTGAGCAACTACGAGTACTACTGGGGCCGCCAGCAGGGGTGGAAGTCTGACGTCTTGACGACGTTCAATTCCGAGACGGCGACTGTGTGGGGCACGGGTCAGGGGCAGATTGTGTGGAATGAGCACTTTAAGTGTTATATCTTTGTTCACCTTGGTATGTTTCTAATGCTGTGGTTTCTGACAGGCAGGGTTAAGACTGACTTTGTGAAAGGCATCGGCGGCGGCACCGTCTTCTTGCGCACTGCTACAAAACTCGAGGGCCCCTGGACGCCGGACATCAAGATCTTCCAGGCTCAGGCCATTGATGGCGGGCTCGTCTACGCTGGCGTCGCTCATCCGTATCTGGATCCCACCGGCAGGACGCTGGTCATCTCTTTCACGAACAACAACAGGATCCAGGTGATCAAAGTAACCTTTTCCAAGTGAGGCAAGGTGATCTCACGCGCCTTGCAGGATAACTCATATTCTTCCAGTCACTAAATTTAACTTCATCCCCGAGTACATAATTACAGATCTTCTATACGGGTGTTATGAGGCAATTCGGGAAAGCAACAATTGCATGCCGGCGAGAAAAGGGTTGTAGGCAATATGACCAACTTCAATTCTAATCCGTGAGCTCGAAGCCTTAGATAGAGCCTCCATAATGGCTACTACCACAATACAACATATAGCTTGGTGAACCCATTTCTACAAGGCGCCAACAGCTAGATGAGAAAGTGTCTTTTCACTCTTTCGGGATACCCCTCGAGATACAACATTAACAGGAATGTCATGAATTAACAAAAGAAAAGAATCAACTATGAGCCATTCGAGGCGTTTGGCCGTTCTGGTACCGGCACAGTCTAATACCCAATGGTTCGCCCCTCTCAAAGTCAAGTAATATCAAGCCCACCCTTTTTTTACGTAGTCAGCGATGCCCAAAATGCAACATTCAAGTCTCTCGGCCGGATCCCTGGTGATCGTCCCAGGCAAACCGATTTCAACCCGATTTCTAGAGTTCATGTCAGCATCATCGGAACAGAATCGTAAACATTGTTGTGGGGACATACCTTGAACGAGCACTCCAACATTGATCGTCACCGCCCTCCGCTTTGACCCGGGCGTTGCGGTCTGGTTGGTAGAGGTGCTCTCCAGCCCAAACATATCGCCCGCAAGACTCGGATCCAGGGGCATCTGACTAGACCCCGCGTCGCTGGACTGCCCAACAGACCGTGTATCGCCCAAGTGGATATCAGACGGCCTTGTCGGCTTTAGAGTCTGCCCAAGCCATTGCCTGGCAGCGGCGTCCCCGGGGCTCGTTCCGTAACTGCTCAAGATATCGGAGGCGTTGTTAATGCTGCTGCTGTTGCTATCGAGTCCGCTGCCGATAGCACGTCCAGCAACGGAGGTTTCATCTGAAAAGTCGGCAGGATCAATTTCTGCCGTGACGAAGTCCGCAGCGGCGGGGATATCGACTCCTCGTCTCCGAAGAACCCATTCGACCTCGTCCGCATCGTAAAAATCGCCTTGCAGACCAGGGACGTTCATTCGAAGTCTCGCAGCGGCGCGCTCCACTCTGAGGTCCCGCATCTCTTCCGTCGCCGCATCCCACGGCCCCATGCCATAGAGTGAGTCGACCTTTTGCCGATACGGCTCGGCCGTCCCCTGATTTCCCACCGGGTTTCTCTGCTTATGGCCGCTCGGGTACGCCATCTCGTCCAAGTCATTCATCTCGTCGAACCACGTGCCCCCGCCCCCTAGGTGTAAAAATGGAAACTTCCAGTTAAACATTGTTTCCCGTTGGTTGACACTGAGACGGTTAGCGATCCGCTCCACGATCCTCTCTTTGGGCTCGAAAAGTAAACTGAAACCGAAGGCGCTGTTGATGAGGCTGCTCGGCGGGTTGGGCATGCGGAGCAACGTGTAAGCCTTTTCCAGAGTCGATCGTTGCAGACGCCGCCCAAACGTCCGCTCCTGGTGGGCATAGGAGGTCGGTGAAGAGAGAATATTAAATAGGGATTCAGAAAAGGGCTGGTTGGCGAGTAGATCGAAAGTGCCTGGTTGGTCCAGACTATGTTCATAGGACATACCGAATGGGAAACTAGCATTATCCGGCGTTGGTTCCGTCACAATTTCGTAGCCCATTGGGGCTTGGGATAGTGTCGAGTGCGGCATATGTGACTGACTATCGGGCGCCCAAGATGTTGTATGCACCGCAGTCATGGCATGTGTTCGAGGTGTTGACTGTAGCTGATGCTGTTGCGGCTGCTCGCTCGACAAAACATCGTAAATGACTTGCTCAATCGGTTTCGCGATCTCGGCAGATGGAGACTTTTCGTTGCCCCTTTCTTGCCCACCGGCAGGGCCGCCAACTTCCTCGACGTCTCCATCATTTTCCTGGCTTGGAAGCACGTCGCCTTCCTTTTCTGGCTCCTCGCTCGTCTTCCGCGCCAAAGAGACAAACTTTTCTGTCGTAGCTTGCAGTTGTCTGCCAAATTCGGGTGTGCTCTCGTGCATGCCTTTGCTGACGGCGAAGTCGTAGAGTTTCATGAACTCCTTGCTCATTTCTTCATTGGTGCGCCTCAACTCATCAACTTTCTTTTCGAGCGATTGGATTGCTGTTTCCTTGCGGTTGCGGTAGGCTCTCTGAGCAAGCCGAATTTGTGTTCGGCGACGCTGTTATGGTTAGAAGGGGTCGACTGAGGGTCCAGTTGTAAGATAAGGAAGGTAATAGCAAGCGAACAAGTTTCCGTAGCAAAGCTGCAAAAAGGGGAGTAAGATCAGGGGTAATTCGCCAACTTACGTCCTTTGCGGTCTCATCATTGGTGTCTAGGCGCGGTCTCCCCCTTGACCGTTTCTTTTCCTCCTCGTCAAGTTCTACTACCTCTGCAGACTGAGTCTTTGATCGTTTCTTGGAGGATCGTTTTGGCTCCTCACTGGTGTCGGCAGCAGGTTTCCCCCCAGGAGGTAGACTTCTTGGTGCGCGAAAGCCCGACATACCATCGTCGAAAGATTCGGCGTTGAGAATGGACAACCCGGGGTTCTGCATGAATGGTGCCGGATAGCCGCCGGGGTATTGAAGGACCCCAGTCTGGCGATGTTGGAGGAAGTCGTCGCTGAGGTGGTTGTGATAGAATGGGTGGGCGGGTCCCGCCACAGGTCTGGACAAAGAGAAATCCACAGGGCGCTCTGGGGCGAGATGTGCGGATTCTAGGCCCAGAAAATGGATCGGGGTTAGTTCGCCAGGATTTGGGGGCAGTTCGGGGTCTGCGTAAGCAAATGGTACAAAGCCGCTTTCGGTGGGTGCTTGGAGCTGGGCCTGGAGAAGCCGTGGGTCGTGTGGACGGCAAAGTAAAGACGCCGTGTCGGGAGAAGACGAAGCGAGGGAGGCTGACTGTATAGAGTCCGCCGGCGAAGGATGTGGAAATACTTGGTGCTGATATTGATGCTGTTGGCTCAAGTCTTGCGGGGACTGATGATTATGGGGTACGCGATAGTGTTGTTGGGGTTCGTGAAAGACTGTCAAGTACTCCTGATCTTGAAAATTACGGTAATAGTGTTCCTCTGCATTCAGTTGCTGGTGAGTTCGCGTCAGGTGCGGACGCACATGTGTATATGAAGGGTTGGAGAAGAGAGGTGGGCGGGATGCTGAGTAAAGGACAGTAGATTCGGCGCCGGTTGAACCACGTTCTTCGAGGGATACTGCTGTTAACGGGCCCGGATAGTTGCAGGCACTGACACCAGCGGAGCAGCCTTTCTCTTGTTGCTGATCAATAACTTGTAACCGGCGACTTGCCAAAGGTCGTTGGGGAAGCGGTCGAGAGAAAGTTGAAAAGCCGTGTCTACCTTGCTCACGAGACCCGCTTGCGTGATGGGTCTGTCGGAAGGGAGGAGGTTCGTCGAGGTCGTCTGCCGTATCGGACGGCGTATCGAGGCCGCTGGGACGGGAATGATTACTCATATCCGCCGAGTAGGAAGTGGGTGCGCCGGTAGTGATGTGGATCCGTAAACTTTAAAGATGCCGACTAACGCCTTCGATCTCGGTTTACACGAGTTTGTGAGTGTGGCACACCGAGTAAGCTTAGACTATTGTTAGGGTAAGATAGCCTCACCATTGCGCCGGGCTCCGGGGACCTGTGGCCAGGCACCGTCAGCCATGCAGAGCTTAACAACAACACTCGTAAATCCCGGGCAGAGGCGGACCCAAAAGAAGGTAGCAGAACGAGATTAAAAAGGTAAATGTGTAAAGGAGCCACTTAGAACCGTTCAAATGGGTCTCCAAGTTTACAAAAACGTAGTTGACTAGATTGCGGCTAATAGAACAGCTTGAAGTTACAAGTGGATCGTGCTTTGATAGAGGTACGACCGGTAAAGATTAGAAGACTAGTCCTCTCCAATACAGTTGGACCTTTGACGAGACAACTTAGACATGTTCATGACACGTTGACAGTCTGGGTGTGTCTGAGCCGGATCATACTTGATTTAAGAAAGACAATTCGGCGCCACTTCTTGTCAACACTGACGAAACCCACCAAGGATGAAAAAGCAAGAAGTGAAGAGGCGTTGGAGTACACGGCCCGCCATTGCCATGGTGTGGGTAAAGTCTCCCGCCTTGAGGGTAGAAAACCGACTCGTTCCCCAATCCAAGGATACGGGTGACACCGTGGGACAGGATGATCAGCTGTGGCTAGGCCAGCCTTGTGGGTGAGGCAAGTTGAGTGTGTTGGATTGTCATTGAAATGCCAGGGCCTGTCGGAGAGAGAGAACAATGAAGAATCCCGCGAAGCAGGGAATAAGACGGCCAAGAGCTGCATGATTGGATCGCGGGACTGGGGCGAGAAGGAATCGAGAGGCCATTTGGTGAGCCTTGTTTTCCTCGCGGACCCCGTAGAAGGGAACTAGAGTGTGAGAGATCTGCAGTTCGCAGCTGGGCGTGCTGCATGTATGCAGGTGAAGGACGTCCAAAACCACACCTGCAAGGAAACATCGCGGCCTCGGCCGGGTAAGAAGTGACGAGAATGCGATAGCATGGCATGGGTGATGCTTCGGTGGCCAACCTCGAGTTCTCGACCCGAATTATGTCAGTTCGAGATCCCGGCGCACTGGTCTAAGGTGTGAAACTGCAAGTGATTAAAACCCGTACCCAGCTGACAAGCCATTCGATTGGGCCGGGGAGCAACGGCAGAGAAGCAGGTCGAGATCCATTGCAACCGTGGTCGCCTGTGAATATGTATCCCGCCTGCCAGCCTCACTCTTGGGGCATGCTCACTCCATGAGGGGCAACGATCGCCATCAACTCACGCCATAATCCCGACCGGAGGTTTTTGCATCCCTGAAGGTGTCAAGTAGGATGAGGACGAAAAAGCAAAAAAAGCAACCACCGCTTTCAACATGAGAAAGGTTGTCCCCTTTTCTCAAGGAACCACTGACGAAACAGCGCTCGGAAGGCTTGGTTCGGTAGGGTAAAACTTGGTGGGTGAATTTGAGAGATCGTCAAGCCTGTACCATTGGGAGCCTGCATTGCCATTACTGGCGAAAACCACAAAACGTGGGTGTAAAGCGCCGACGCGTGGTGTGCACGCAGTGGCGCATGCATCATTCGGGATTGATTGGGCCATCTTGCATAGGCAACAGCCTCATGATCTCTGCTCAGCTGAAGGGTGATATGGGATCGTAACAGCATCCCCTTCGACCGGAGGAACTAGAATAACAGCTTCTTCATGGAGAGAGTTGTTCGCGGTTGGGTTTCTGTGATATTCCAGCTCTTTCGGTTTCGGGGCCCGAAGAAAGTAAGCCAATGCTGGAAATAATGTCGAGCTAGAAGCCAAGTATTCCAAGATAGGCAGACAGGACACCGTTCGAGGACTGATGATAATGGGGAGCTGTGCATAGCGAAATGGAGAAGAGAAGGAGGAGGTTTGTTGGTAGGCATGCCCTGGGCCAGACACGGTCCATTCGGTCCGTCCCCCGTATCCTTGTCGGACCCCTTCTTTGTCTGCAGCCCCGGGAGTGACCCCCAAGGGGTTTTCAGGGTTCTGGAGAGCGTGCGACAAGTTCATCATTATGACCGCGAATACGGAGTATGGGTGTGGCAACCCCCGCGCGCGTGTCCGATCTGGATTCTGTCAAACACCAGCGAGATCGTGTCACTGCGGCCATTTCGGGTGGTTCGCGAGGGGTCAGCCACCCGCCTCGTCTAGACCGGCACACCGATCATCTCAGCCAAATAGATATATGCGGCCGGTGTCTCGGCCGCGCAACTTTCTGGGCACGTCGGCGGCTTTCATGATGGTGCGCTCCCGTTCAGCTAATAGAGCGTTGGGATTCATGGCCATCCAAAGAATCGCAAAGAATATCCGAAAACCCGTCCAAGTATCCTAGCTGTGTAAGATACCTACCTAGGTCATCTACCTAGGTAGGTAGGTATGTAGGTATGTAGGTAGGCCATTTGAGGTTCCGACGACAGACGCCTACTTCGATTCGACCGACGGTGTCAGGTTTGATACGTTGGAACGACAGCTTGACTTGATAACAAGCAAAGTAATCTTTACTTCGAGAAATCGGAAAGCAGTGATCGCATTTTGTTTATGATTTGACAGGGACCTTACCAACCTCAATGTCTTGCCCTGGTATTATCCAGCAGTCACTTATGGTGTAAGATACCTAAGCACCTAAGGTACCTAGGTAGCTAAGGTAAGGTAAGATGAGGAAAATCCCGATAAGAATCGATAAGAGCCGATTAGATAAGGCGCCCATTTGTACCTTATCTCCCCTCCAGAACATAACGATCGCAAAGCTCAAGCTTCACCAACACCAGCAATGTGACCGAAGCTCGGGAGAATGACGCCTCCCTTTCCGCGAGGATGCCATCCCACTTCGTACCAGCTCAAAACTCCCGCCATCGTATCGCCGCAATCGCCCTATATCGTGCTCTCATCCGCGAGGCTCGTGCCGTGCCACTCCCCAACGATGTACTCCGCAAGGGTGTCGAGAACCCACTGCCGCGGCTCGTGAAGAAAGGCTTCAAGCGCAATCAGACGGAGGCGAGCTACCGCCTTGTTCTTGCTGCGCTATCGAAGGGTTACAAGGTGCGATAGTCCTGTAGTTTGCTCGCAGCGCCTTCCAGTACTGACAGTGCTCCAATTCAAGTTTCTCAACCTTTTCAAAGGCGCCCAGACCCCATCGTCAAAAGAGCACTCCGAAATCCTTACGTACCTCCGCGAAAAGAGCCTTCGTGATGCAAGATCAGAAGCAGGTAAACCACCATCGCCACCGCCGAAAATCGAGCGTCCAAAACCCAAATGGCCACCCCTGCTCAAGCGCATTTCCCCCCTCGACGAACCACCAGTCTACATCTCCGAGCGCCACCCTGTGCCTCGCGAGGACCTCTCCGGCATACGGCACGTCCCTAACGTCGCTGTGACCGCACATGGCGTCGTCTTTCTACGCCAGGGCAAGCCGCAGCACCGCTCCGTATGCGACTATGTCCAGAAGAAGAACAAATACAAGATTAAGAACATGGAACATCTGCTCGCCTCGATGCGCGATGAACAGCAATTTGCGAAGGAAGAAGACCAGTGGGATAGTCATCTCCAGAGCGAGATCAGATCTCAAAAGTTTGTGGTGGAAAGGCTGGTCAGGTTGCGGCAGAGAATCGAGCAGCCCCTTGCAGACCTTCCTGACTGGGTTGAAAAACCAAGTTACGAAAGGGTAGGAACTGTCGAGCCCTATGTCTTTGAAGAGAGTTACACCAGCAGCGTTGCTGCTACATATGATGATGCCAGCAGGAGATTGAGCGATGATGCGGCGGATCAGTCTGCGAGAGCGAAGGCGTTTCTAGCGATCCGCGAGGCGGAAAAGAAGGCGTTGGAGGAAGACAACGAGTATTACCGGGAAAAGGGGTACAAGTGGATGATTGACACACCGTACAAGAAGAAACAGAGACGGGTTGCGAAGCGCAAGAAGGGTGGCCAGGACAGATTCGAACGCAGGGCGGTACGGCATGATAAGGCGCGGAAGAGCAATTTCATCGGCCTCAGCCCTGCCCCCATCCAGGTTTGAGTCGCTTTCTCATGGACGATACCTGTTTGTATTCATACTGTACTATACTTCTACATATTCCCCATGATACCAATAAGGAATGGTGCGGCATACGATGGCTACGCGATATCGAGGCGCAATTGACTCCCTTTCCTCTTTTTTCTCCTCTTCCAACCTAGGACTTCTGTTTTTGAGCCTACCTGAGATACTTTCTCGATCAATCCTGTCGTAGGCGATTGTCGGCCCCATCGCTTGCCAAAGAAGCTGCAGGAAACCCCCTCACCTTGATGCCTAGCTATCCTAGAGACAACTAAACGCTCAGCCTTGCCTCTAGATAAGTTTTCAACCCCAATGGTTCCGTTGAAAAGCTGGAGTCACACAACTCAGAAAGTAGTCTAACCACAACTCTGGGAGTCTGTAGGTAAACACCCGGGTAGGCTTCAGCCGTACTTTTTTCCAAGGGATTATCTACAAAGACAAGCCTTCCCCCACCCCCTTTGTCTCTCTTCCCTCTCCTGGAGTATTCCACAGACATAGCACACAGTACACTGCAACCAATAACCAGTCTTGAGAGAAACATGGACGAACAAACACCCAACACGTCCAATTTCACCACGGCGCACTCAACGTTACCATTAGAAACCATCGGAAAGGGCTTCTGTGGCTCTGTATGGTCCGTGCCGACCTCAAACCTCGCCATCAAGCGGGAGGACGGCGGTCCTGGTCGGTCCATTGCACACGAACACACGATGCATCGCCACATCATCCAAAGCTTGGATAGCACCAGACATCTCAATGTACCTCACTGCGAAGGCTTCCTCAAACACGATGCGACTGCCTGGGATCAAATGCTCCCCAGATTTCCCACCGGATATACAGGTTGTAATGCACTGATCAGCGAGAAGATTCCACCACTATCTCGAGACGTTCGTAAGCTCCTGGCACAGAAGTTCCATCCAAACGTGGATGCGGATGAGATTGCCGATAGCTCGACAAACAGCCATTGCCTTGTCCGGCCATACTTGGGACGCAGGAAGCTTCAAAGTACAGATACGAAGCAAGACAGGCCTAGAATGAGATTCTTCAGTCTAAGGAACTTCCCGCTTCACGTCGACCAGATGGAGGCTCTTGGAATGGAACTTCACGGATACGCCGTGGCCATGGCGAACGCTCTAGCATTCTTACATTGGACCGCAAAAGTTGACGCAAACGATGTTGAATTTGTTCTCGCAGCCCCAAGGACACCACAAACTCCCCTCGACGAAGATACGTCCAAGTCAGCATTGGGCCCTGCAGGCTTCCATTCGGATGCTTTTGGATCTCATGCCATGTGGATCCTGGATTTTGACTGTTGCAGAATGATGACTATGGACAACAACGGGATAAAGCAGGCGTGTAGAAGCTTTTGGCGGAACGATCCTTACTATCCGCGACCAGGGAGTGACAATATGCAGGACAAGGAGCTTTGGGCCACATTCCGAAGTCAGTTTCTCAAGTCTAGCGATGGCATCTTGAAGGGTGAAGAGGATGATATACGGCGGCTGCCGCTACAATTGATCGAGTGTATCGAGGAGACAAAAGGCAGATTTACGAAGGGAACGGACTTCTGGTAAGATGGCCACTAAGATGGCACCATATCGTATTCTATGGATATGATCCTAGAGAGAATAAGAAGCAAGAATCTTGATTTCTGGAAGGGCAGCGTCATATCCTGTGTCAACCATTTTAGATACATTCGCGCCATTTGCAATTCTTACCAATCCACCATACACGACAAGATTCCCATGCTTACCTTGACGACTTCTGAGTAAGACTTCCCAGGTCCGTCTTCCCAACCACAGATAACCATGCCGCAACTAATTTACAGTTTCAATTAGCCTGCTGATGACTGGGAAGGTCTTGTCTGGTGGTCTCTGACCGCCAAACCGCATGACCCTGTGCCGCATTTCCATTTGTTCCCCATTTAGTACCGAGCGTTTGAGATGCTACGCTACAGGTTTTCGGCTTTGGCTTAGATTCATCTTTGCTCCTGCGCCTGTTCTCTAAAAAGGAGTCCAGGAAGTTTGAAATAGGTAGATTGGCATTACTTCCTTTGATATGAAGAGTATGATGAATGGTGACGGGATGTCGCCCAGAAGGCACGGCTCGGACGGTCTTCCTTCCCCAGGTCTTTGCAACTTGCGCCTGCCTTCATCGGAGAACCGCATGGCTTGTCTTCCGGTTCTCCTTCTGGAGCAGGTCCTTGGGTTTCCAGCTCCATCCATTACATCCACTTCATCGATTACCGTCATCTCTCCGAACTGCAGTGCAAGCGAAAAACGCGTCACTGACATGTTTTACACCAGTCAAATCATCAGCTGCAACAAAACTAGGTCACAAATTCACTTTCTCAGTGCGATAACCGCTAGTGCCGCTGGCAAAACGGATCATTGCATTCACAGACGAGGATTCATGATATCAAACATAACGCTCGATTCTTTTATCCTCGCGCGGCATTGACGACACCACGTAATATATTGTACAACTAGACCCGCTGATTCAATGACTTTCGCCATTTTATCGAGACATAGGACACCAGTGCCAGTCTCCGAGCGCCCCAGAACTTCAGAACGCGCATGCCCCCTCGATGATAGCCACATAAGTTGCAACTGTCCATGCCGCCGATGATGGAATGTTTCGACCGCTGGTCATCTCTCGAAGCGGTGGCACTTACGTCTACCTTCCTCGATTCAAAGCTGGATGAGGCATGCACTCGAGCCTACTTCAAAAAGCAGCTGTGGCCGCAATGCACTTGCCAAATCTCAAGATCCTGGAGCTATGGCAGGACTGGAAGGATGCGGCGATGCTGTTCCGTTACGAAGTGTCGGGACGCGCAGTCGACGTCTCGCATGGTGCGTCATGGGATCTGAAGTTGCATCAGGATGTTTGGAATGGGTGGGGGAGGTGGCTAAACATCATGGAAACCTCTTCTTCGACATTCGGCTCAAGTTGCTCGACATTCCTGCCACTGCCGATGTCCGTGCCATGCTCCGTGTCAATTCATTCTAAAGGGGAAGTGTTGGTTTATCTTTCTACCAGTCTATCTTTATCTATGAAGCATAGCTTCTTTGTGAAAGTACCATAGACAATCAATGAATGGCTTGTTGGCTTTCAGCTTTTATAGGATCTTGACTGAGCCGCCATTGGCTGCAATGACACTTCCATTGATCCAGCGCGCCGCTTCACTTACGACCAGACCCACGACTTTGGCAACATCATCTGGAAGTCCGACTCCGTTATGGATTGATTTTCCCTCGCTCAGAACCTTCAATGCGGCTTCGCGCATGTCCGGTGGCGCACTCCCAGTGAGCGCATCAGTCGCCGTACCACCCACTGAGAGGGAGTTTACCGTAGTTCCCAGCGTCTTTGTGTCCTGGCTCAAAATATCCGCCCAAGATCGGGTCAGAGATTCCATTGCTGATTTGGTCGATGCGTACAACATGGCACTTGTAAAGTTAACATCGACACAGGAATCCGAGATCGCTAATGTCTTCTTGTCTGACTGTAACTTACTAGGATGCCGCTGCGGTACGAGCCCAATCGCTTGAGATATTGACAACGCGAGATTCCGGTTGGATGTAGTCTCGTCTGAGAAGCACGTCCATCGTCAACGCCAAAGACTGTACATTGCCTAGCAAGACCCTCTGGATGAATTCAGCATCAAGCTGACGGACTGGCCGCGCCTCAAAGTGGGTTGCGTTGTTGACAATGATGTTGATTTTGCCATCGAACTCATCCTGGACTTTGTTCGCAATCGTCTCGGCTAGGTCTGGCGAAAGAAGGTTGGCAACCAATCCCGTGACTTTTGGAGCGTCGAGCTGGCTTGAGTGGTATCCCTGTTGAACGGTGTTTTCGAGAGAGTCGAATAGTTTGAGTGATTCAGTGGATGCACAGGTACCAAGAACGTTTGCTCCGCGACTGGCAAGGTGAATAGCTATGGCGCGGCCAATACCGCGGGAAGCACCTCTGTCGCCATCATTAACAACCTCCTAAGCTGTCTATAGGTGAATGCGCAATGTCTCATAAAAACGAGTCACAAGAGGGAACTGAAGCTTACGTTACCAGGGCATTCTGACCTCGGAGATCCTGAGGGAGGAGAATCATCTCCTTGCTAGTTTGGGGCGCTGTGGTGCTCATCTTGGCAACTCTTACGTTTGGTCGACTGGAGTTCCGGTCCTGTGATATCTGACGGATACTTTTCGGAGGATAGACATGTCTTCAGGTAGTAATAGAAGCAAAATTATAGATTTCTTGGCCTCAGCAGTCAAAGACGGCTTACAAACAGGACGGTTAACTACTTGGCACTTACAAATCCGACAGCCTCCTTCGCTATTCCAGCGGACAACGAAGTCGCGAGCGAACCACTCGCCAGCTCATTATACAAGAGCTCCAAAATTCATTTATGGGGCTACGTAACATCATTGCTGACTATTTTGCAGGCTTGTATTCTCGTGGTTCGTCTGATGACGTCCGTTCCGCTTAGTAGCCGAATCGGGCCGTCACGGACTTCAATACGCAATTGAGCCGAGCCATTGTAAGTTCACTACCCAAATTACACCAAAGACGGCGAATTCTCTTCATTGATTCTGAGATACTCGGTAGGATAACGTGATGTTTCCACATTCCCCGTAGCGGCAACACTTGTTCCAAAATCCGAGTCTATCCTTTGTAATCCGATACCCCGTTTGACGCTCTACGGACACCCCCATCGGGTTCTCGCCATCCCAGCGAATGAAGACATCGTCTGAGATTCACACACCTTGAGGACCAAAAACGTTGGACGTTCAAACAGACTGTGCAGATGTCATCTTCCCAAAGTTCTTCCCTGTCGTGTTCCACTCGGAGCGTCTTAAGCTTAAAACCGAGACGCGAGAGGGAATAGCTTTGGTACTGTCTAATTGATGAAAGTTTTTGGATGACATCAGACTTGTGCATATAAGTTCCCGGTTCTTGGTATCAAAAGAGAACGATATCCCCACATTCGACTTAGAGATTATCAAGCATCATCCTCCACTGCCAACACCATTATGTCTCATAAGTCTCAACCATCAACGCTCGCTGCATTGGAGCCTCTGACCCAGAAGTTGAGCCAGGGGTCAGTCATCACACCGGATGATCCGTCATACAAGCTTCACTCGGAGCCGTTTGCTATTCAGAAGCAGCTTTACCCGTCAGTGGTTCTCGTTCCAAGCACCATCGAAGAGCTTTCCTCTATCGTGCGGTTTTTGTACTCCTCGAGCTTGGAATTTGCAATCCGCGGTCATGGATTCAAATCACCTTCCGCCAAAGACGTGATTGTTAGCATGCTGAACTTCAAGAGCCTGGAATATGACTCGACCAAAAAGATTGCTACAGTTGGTGCGAGTGCAACTTGGGAAGAAGTAGTAGGGTTCATGGAACGAGTTGACCCCGAGTACTCAGGTGATACAGCTATTTGTAACCCACAGTATCATTCAAGCTAACTGAACCCAGTTCCTGCAGCCCGTACACCTAGCATTGGAGTTACGGGATCTATCCTCAATGGCGGCCTTTCCTGGATGTCCTCCGAGTATGGCGGCATCAGCGACCCTATCAACTTCTTAGATGCAGAAGTAGTCAAGTATGATGGCACTGTTGTCATGGCATCTCAGGAGCCGGGTCTTCTCTGGTCCCTACGCGGCGGCGGTGGCGGCTTCGGTAGTAAGTACAAGTCCTAGCCCGTCCTGAGACTTTTGATCATCTCAGCTAACAGAAAACCAGCCATTACCAAAGTTCTTCTTCGGGCGCATCCGTATCCAACTGATATCTGGTCGGGCATCGTGCTCCTACCTCGTCGCCTCTTAGCGCAGATGATTGATGAGGTGGTCAAGTTCAATCACTCTACGCCCCATCCCAAGGTCAACTACTTCATGTACTTGATGCCCCAGCAACTACTTCATACCGTTCTGGAGAAGCCTGAGCCCGATATTGGTGACACGGTCATCTTCCACGTGTACGACGCCTTGGGTGAAGAGCATGGTCGAGCTACCTTTGGTTGGATTCTTGAAAAGCCCGGGGCGATTGACCGGACAAGGGTGACCAACATGAAGGGCGTTCTCGACATGCAGAGTAAGACGCTCTTATATGTCCCAGAGAATACCACGTTAACAACATTCCCATACTAGGAAATGCAAACGTCATGCGAGGCACAATGAAGACGCTTTACGCGCCAATGGCAGTGTCCGACTTGAATCGTGTCACAATCAGGCGAACGATTGAAGTCTATGATAACATAGCGAAGCTAGACCAGACTATTCACGACATGTCTTCAGTCATCTTCGAGTTCTTGTTGCTCGTAGGTTCTCATTCCATCTCGCCATTATCATCCTACTGATAAGTCAACTTACAGCGACCTCCAATTGGCGGTACCGCAGAGGTTGCATGGCCTCGATCCAACAACCTGAACCATCTGTTGCTTTTCATCATAAGCTGTCCGGGGAATGGCACAGAGGAGCAGGAGAAAATCATTCGTCAAATCTCCAACGATGCGTCTGGCCAGGTTTTGGGCCCAGAAACTCGGGCGGAAGTCAATCCTGCTGGCCTCGAGCCATCTTAC